GCTCATCCTAGCAAGAACGATAAGGGCCTCGTGTGGCCGAACAGTAAAAGAGAACCAGGAAGAAGAAGGAAGAGGCAAGAGAAAGAAACGCTGAGACGACCCTGCCTCGCGTTCCCAGCACCCAAGTATGTATACCGAGGCACCTGGCAGATCTAGACAACCGCACATGGTCGTATTGCAACCAACCTTCCAGGAACGTGCTAATTCCAAGTTGGCGTTCTTGTGTCAGGGCCGCCGCGGGTTTGGCGCTCGACTTTGGTATAGGTGGGAATGGGGATTTCGAAGTCCGGCACGGAGGGAGAACATCGGAACCTGGAACGTTGAACTCTAATGAGAAGACTCGGAATGAGCTTGGCGCCGGTGTCAGTGTCAATGAACGATTGAGATAAGGGTCTGCATAGTCATGGTTAGTGGTGCTGTTGAGCTCAGCTAGCGATGAAGGCGTGTCAGGGTATGGCGGCGAGGATGCGCATAAGTTCACTGCCTCCAAGGAATCAGCTTCTGTGCGTACGACATGCGTCAATGGATCGAGAGTATGCTGATATCAAGGTTTCAAAGGCGTCGTACTAGCGCTGGACACAGTCAGCGGAAACTGTGGTTTATTTCGGATGAGACGAGCTATCGCCAGCCAATCGCCAGCGGAAGCGCCTGAATACCAGGCGCTGGCTGTGGGAGTCGAAGTTCAAGAAACGCGGACACGTGTACTTTATTTGGCGTGGGCTTGTCCGTGTTGGCCGAGATTCCTGCCTGATTATGGGAGCAGCCGTGGAGGAATCGTGTGGGAAGGCGAGAAGTAGAAAGAATGTGATGGATGTGATGATATTTGGAAGTTTGAGAGTACAATTGTGGGAGTGTGATGTTTGTTAATGCATGGATCGAAAGTTCGACAAAAGCCCCGCAGTAAGTTGCGTTCTGCAGGAAAACATAGATAGAAGAAGGCCTAGTATATAATTCTCCAGTCAAGGCACGAGAATCGACATCCTCTTCACCAAAACCATCCTCGCGAGCGTTACGCACAGCACCCCATCTGCCATCGTCGCTTTGACCTGATTTGGGTCGACCGCGCGCGGGAACTGGATGGTGCGGAGGAACTTCGTATTCGGCGTATACGTTCGTTCGCTGTACAGGTGTTTCGTCGCTGTGTGTTCTTCAAGTCAGTGAAGCTGCTCGACGTAACAAGCGACATGTAGTACAGTACACACCTGACTTAGGACAACTCTTCGACTCCGACTCGTCTGGCGATACGCTGCGCGCCGTCTCCATCTGCACCTCCTCCCCATCCACAGATGCTTCCGCCCTAGAACGCCCAGAGACCTGACCGCGAATCGTCAGACTCCGCCCGTTGTCCCCCACGATGAGCTCGACGTCGCTCTTCTTCACCCCTGGAAGCTCGGCGAGGACTTGGTATCCTGTAGCCTGGACACAGCATGTGACGTCAGAAAGCGGTCATCGATGTTATTGACGGTGCCCTCGCGACAACCTCGCGACGCAAATTGGAGAGGATAGCATACCGACTCGGTAACGTCGATGGCAGGTGTGGTATTTCTGCTCAGCCTAGGATCGAAAGATATAGGGCCACGGGCGAGAGGAAGACCATGATTCGCGCTGTCTTCGAGGGAACGGACTACAGAGCGAAATTCGGGTGGGAAGAACAGGGACAGGGACATGGCGTGGGGAACGGGTGGGGGAATAGGGGATGGTTGTTAGATACAAGGAACGGGTGCAGTGCAGCTGGTCAGGTTGAGTGCATTGGCATATATCAAAAGCGAGCCAGCTGCTTGGAAGAATGATGTTGGTTGGGGAACAACGTCACCATGACAGAATTCCTTGTTGAAATGCATGTTTCTAGAAGAGTTCGGAAACTTGCGAGATGCAGGAACGAGGCAGACTCGTAGCGCGGCATGCGCAACTCGCTTGGAGGGCTCGGTAGGTGCGCGTGTCCACCGTGCGGCGTCGACGCACCGCCATTGGCTCTGAAAGAAAAGATCATGAATATACTTACGGATACGTCGCGATCGTGGACTAAGATATACACAGGGCATTGCGGGGGTGGCCCATTCCTAGAAGGTGCGTACAAATGATATCTGCGCAGATCTATATTCCTCGCTTGCAAACTCGAGCCTGAGCCTGAGGTCGAAGGTCAAGATTGAAGCCGACCGAAATTTGAGGATGCCAGAGACAGTCAGTAGCCTAAGTATGGACACCGCAAGATCTTGCGAAGCCTAGAAATTTGCACAGGGCTCATTTGCCGGATATAGCGAGGCCGCAGAGTTCTTAACAGCTGATTTGGTTGATTTTTTGTTGCAGGTGGCAGGAGAGATTGAGCTCGTTTGCGCAGGCGCAATCCGCCAAAGGGTGATGACAAATCATGACTAATGCCTCCTCACGAAAATTTGGCCCAGTCATCTCCTCTTCATCTTTACTTGAAACCACCACCACCACCACCGTACAATCTCGCATATCTGCACCCTCATCCTCATCTCTCAACCTTCAAACCCCCTACACACACTCTCAAATGGCCAAATCAATCCGCTCCAAAGCCAAGCGCTCTTTCCGCGCCAAAAAACGTGAAGAAGGCGTGTACGCCGCAACCGCCGCTGCCCGTCTCGAGCGACTCAACTCCAAGCTTGTCGCCACCGTCAACTCCGAAGCACCAGTACACAGCGACAATGAAGACGAGGACAGCATACCAGGTTGGTTGATGTTCGGTCTTGTGGATGCGGAGGACATCACCGTTGAGTCGATGGGACATTGGACATCGACGCCGTTGTGGGAGAAAGCTGTTCGTGTGGGAGGAAGAATTGATGTATAAGCATCACATAGCCTGGCGTTGTTGTTTTCGTTGCTCTTTGACTCAGTCGATGGGTGTCAGAGGTAACTTTTGCCGAGCCCACGGGACTTTGCTGCGATCGTTTTTTCTCTTCGTTCACACCTGATTTCCCTATCATCGTGTTTGGATCGGAGTGGACAATGATTGCTGACCTGCTGTTACTTGCGCAGTGGACAATGCTGAACCCACGGGAGAGACAGGGGAAAAGTCAGGTTCAGGTCAGTCGGCATTGCATTGTGACTCCCGTTGCGCAGGAATCGGGCGCTGACACTGCTCTCCTCCATTCCACTGTCTATCCTTCCACCTCTTCCGACACACCCACACACTATTATTCCGAAATACCCACACATTACCACACCACGCATTCTACCCACCAGGCACCATGGACGTCGACTCCTCGAAACCTATCTCAACACACGGACCCCGTGGCTCCCGTCGCGAGGAATGGAGAGTCTCGAAGGGCCTTTCCGCCCGGCCGAAACGACACGGAATGAACAAGCAGGGCGGGATCGCTGCTGCGCGCAGGCCTGGCAGGAGCAGTCGCCGAAGATAATCACACTACCGACCAACTATCTCCTTATCTCGCCTCATCCGATAGGTGGCTTATTCTAGCAACCTACCCGCCTCTGCGCCCGCCGCAGCAAAAGCCCTACTCCTTGGCGTCTGCCTCTATCGCCTCTATCGACGCTCAGGACGAACAAGGGCACGCCGAATCCGGCAGCGCGTCACGGAGTCAGGGACGCTCGACGTTTTCTTTTCTTGGGTCGTTTGGTCTTGTGTTGCATCATCATCATGTACTTATCTGTGTAGCTCCCATTTACCGTAGTCACATCGCATCGCATTTCTCTGTCAGTCATCCCCACGAAATTTCGCACCCGATGATCGGCTCTGCTGAGCTTCGCAATCACCATACCTACAGTAGTACCACCACGGTCTGAGGAGTGGATACAGTAAGTTAAGTCTTGGATGGAAGAGCAGATCATGCCTGTGCGTTTTGTGAGAACGTCGAGCTTGAACGCTGCAGGCCTGATGCTCGAAGGTCAGGACGAATGAACGGCTCTGGTCGATCCTCGAGCTTCTGTCTGTCATGACAATTCTGGCTTCGTGGATGCTGCATCTGGCTTGTGACACAGTAGGCTGTGTCTTGCTATACCCTGCTCAGTGCTCAAGTCAGTACTTGCATTAACATGCGAGATATAGATAGATAGATAGATAGATAGATAGATTGCGACGGATGTCCCTCTACAGAAATTTTTCGGTGGGCAGAACGCCCCCCATCAGACCCGTGCACCGACCCGATCTGCCCTTGCTACGACATATAAACCCAAGTAGGAAAACCCCTCCGGCGAAACTCGCCATGGGGAAAACCTTGGGAAAAGTCGGGCGGACAGACACAAGTCAGCACCCGGCGATGGGCATGGCCGACTGTTACGCTACAGGAAAGGAAAACGCCCCCGCCACAACGCCGCTCGACGAACCTGGAACGGAGTCGACCTACGCTGGCAGTAAATGAGACCAGAGACCGTATGAGCGCAGCCAAGAAAACAGAGCCAACAGTCACACCAAAAATTGCCAGTCACAACGAAGCCAAGAACCAAGCGGACAACCTGAGAACAGGAGAGCAAACGGAACTCAATACACCGGCAAGTCATTAGAACGGTATACGGGAATGGAAGAGTAGAAAGGAAATGGGCAAACAAGAAATGGGAGACAGGAAATGGCAAAAGGGAAAAGCCAAACGAGAAATGGGAATTAGCAAATGGGAGAGACCAAGTAAACACTAGACAGACGAACGAGAAACTGGAAACTCCAATCCAGCAGGAGTGAAAACATTGAATCGACAATTAACCATCTTCCATTAACACATCTTCGTCGTCTTCGGTGCCCTCGACCGCTTCTTCATTGTCGGAGTCGACCGCCAAAACCGAACCGGACCACGGCGCCCACAACTTCCTCACACGATGAACAAAGCACGCGAATGGGATAACCGCCAAATAGTGACTGAAAAGCTCTTGGGTCACCTTGATGGCGATGGTCTCTTCCAACGGCCACTGAGGGAAAATGAACCCCAATCGCTCTTCCTTTATGCACCACTCCTTCCGTGCGTCGACAGTGGGTATGCGAGCCAATGTGCTATGCCACCACTAAAAATTGCTTCGACGTAAAAAGTCTCTCTGACTGGGAGTCGAACCCAGCTTTCGCGCGTGAACACTAAGAGTACCTTCATGACAGGCGCGTGTACTAACCGATATACTATCAGAGATACAATGCCGGGTTTTTTAGTGTTATATGATAATTTGCAGCTTAGACGGCGATCACCATCAAAGTTCAGACCAGAGCCTTGGGATGTCTACGCATCTGAAGCCTGGAGGTACCCCGACTTGAATCACCGGAACTTAGCAGAACCCATCCAGAGAAGCAACATAGCTTCTTGGAGGATAGGGAGGGACAGAATAGGGACCTATTAATACAGTGGAACGAGCCCCTCCATCATTGACATATCATACCAGAGCCTCGAGGCGGATCACAAGAATCATCGCATTGGAATTCAGCACATACAGTGCACGTACTTCGAGGCAAACAACACATCGATTTGACCGGACGGGGATCTAAAATCCGTCATATTTGGTTCGTATCGCGGATCACAAGAAGCACCGGTAAGTATCTTCTTCACACCATCTCGAAGTTCAAACTGTTCCCACTCCTACATCGATTCGATATCACGACTGGGGTGCGGTGTGAAAGATCTAGAGTTGCTATGCTGTGCCCCCCCCCTTCGGTACCATCATCAGCGAACGTTCGCTCGCTGGCGATGGTAGACGTATCTATCGATACTCCGTCGATACTTATCATCCGTCGACTCGTCAACTAAGTCCCTATATGGACCCTGCATCGACGGCGGCTCATATTGAAGTATAGACTGCTGGCTCATCTCAACATACGCGAACGCGTCAATCCCGCAGGCACCAGAGCAGGTACGGTTCTGGGCCGCCGGTAGCACTTGTATACGCCCAGTGCTCGGCATACATTTGGCACGACTCGCAGGAGTGAGGACTTGATTACTTATCGGCACACGATGATACTCCTGCCGATCTCGAGGGATACGTCTCCCGCGCACCCTTGAGCTCTTGTGCGCGAAGATTCGGCCTGAGATGGAGCCTTGTAGTGTTATCTAAGACGAATTCCGTACCGTCCATGAACTCCGGGAAGGTTCGCACATCTAAGTTTACCAAGAATAGTAGCCGTATACAGTATGCTGCTAAACTGTGATAATTCATTGACCGTCAGCAGTTTCAACGCACCATCTACCGCGCTCGCGTCCGTCGACGAACGACCCTGTCTCCTGCCAGTGCCAGTGCCAGCCCTGGCACCGCCCAGACCCGAACTTCTGCGTTGGCAATGCCAATTCTTGACCTCCTGAATGCGCTTGAATCACACGTGACGAGAGGATCACCTTCCTTGGTACTAGTACAAATGCAATTCCAATTAGACTGAACCGCTTTCCCCCTTGACTCTCCTCCTCCTACTGTCCTGGTTTTCAAGATGGCAGAATTCCAGGTCTTGGACGTCGTGAACGACGACGTACTACTGCATGTCTTCAGGTTCCTCCATGTCCCGGACGTTGTCGCAATTCGACAGGTACGCTCTCATCAGTGCCATGGTAGTCGACGACGACGCTGACGACCTCTTTAGACCTGCAAACGACTATCCGTACTCTCTAGAGTCCGTCTTCTGTGGCAGACAATCGTGCAAGAGCAGATAGTCTCACGCGGTCTCCCATTCATCAACACCATCGCCAGACCCCTCTCCAAGATGCGGCAACCCGAGCTCGAAGCACGCGCTCGAAGGGCGTACCGACTTTCCCTCGCCTGGTCTACACTCTCCTCCACTTCTTCTACTTCCTCGCTGTCACAGTCTTACAGCCCGTCTTCCGTCTTCCGACCCCGCACAATGTGGTCAGCCCAAGACAAGAATGTCTTCGACATTCGATTCCTCCCAGGCCATGACGGACGTCGGTTCATGACTGTCTCAGGCGGTATATGGTTCCACGTCTCGATATGGGAGATTAACAGCGGTGAGGGTGGTGACAGTAGTGAAAGTGGGGGTGGACAGGCTGCGAGGAAGCTGGTGGAGTGGGGGCCGAAGGGACTGGTGATCAGTGCGTTGGTGCTGAATGACGTCGAGGGGACGGAAGCGACGATGGCTGTGTCTACCAACAGAGATGAGTGCGTATCTTTCCTTCTTTGCCTCCAATCATCTGTCTTAGCGCTGACGATGATTATCCTACTCCAGCGCGCACTGCATCCTCATTCTCTCTCTCAGTCGCACGCGGAGCAGGAAGAGAGGCAGTAGCACGACGACGCCCAAGTTCGACCTCAAGGAGATCAGCTGTCTACGAGCGGCATCTCACCAACCGATGCTTCTTCATGGAGATCTCCTGGTGACGAGCAACGACTTCTCGACAACCGTGATATGGAACTGGAAGACCGGGGCACATGTCACGCTGCAGCAGCCGGCTGACGATGCGGGGCTCTGGGTGGTGAGTGACAGGGTTCTTGAACTTCTTGGGGATATGTATGCTGATTATCTCGCTCCCTCTCTATTTTGGTCCTTCTTCTCTGATTGTTGCGGTATTTCCTTTGGTCGAAATTGGCCATCTTTGCTCGACATCTACTACCCGCACTGGAACACACCACAGCACGACCGCTGCGTCCAAGTCCTCCTCACGCATCAAAGTGTCCTTGTCGTCCGCGCAAGATCTATTCACCTCTTCCCACTCCCCTCCTTCCTTGTTGCCAGTCCAGCCCCTATCTCAGGTGGTTTCAAGAGCAAGTCCAAGTCCGGGCGGTCGAGGCGTAGACCTGCTTTGAGCTCCAACCTGAGTTCGAGCTCCACGTCTTCATTCTCGTCTGTCTCCTCGTCCTCATCCGACTCTTCATCCTCGTCCAGTTCTTCCTCGACTTCTCCCTCCCCTCCGAGTCAAGCTCTCCCCGTCTCTCCACAGCCGCATCTCTTCCACCAACAATCTCCCCATAGCCTCCCTCCCTCCAGTGTAGTGGAGCCTATCATCTCGCACTCGTTTGGGTGGATCAACAGTATTCATGTTCAAGTCAGCGTTTGCGGAGAGCAATCGAGTGATGACGAGCACGAGAGCGGAGGTGGGAGGAAAGGAGACTGGCCTGCGCTGACGATCCTGTGTCGGGAAGAGGGCGCGGATTTCTGGAGTGCACAGGCGCATCAGATACAGATGTATGTTCTGGAACCGAACCCTGCGTTCGTGTCCGAGTCGACCTCTACCGATTCCTCCACATCGTCCACATCCCACACCGAATCACCAGCGGCCAACATACCCTACCTCTTCCCGCCCCTTCTCACCGCGCGTGCATCCTCCAAGAAAGGCTACTCCCGCTGTTCGCAGGTCATTCTTGGGCAGAGGGGAACGGCGGTATGGATCCAGCCGAGGGAGAGGAGCGGGATGGGGTTGGTGGGGATGGCGGGTGGGATGACCATGGGAGATGGGGATGGGATGGGAGATGACGGTGGGGTGGCGATGAGAGGGGGGTTCTTGGGGGCTGCGCATGAGACGCTGGTTATTGCTGCGTTCCCGGGGCCTTTGTATCATCGCCCCTCGGACTCTGCTGCAACGAGTGAAGAGGCCGATGCCAGTACATCTTCCACCACGGATCCATCAGCACCTCGCAAACACACAGTCGCGCAAGTCAAAGGCCGGCCACTGTGGACGAACGGAAAGAACGACTGGACGTCGGTCGATTATGATGAGGTGAATGGCAGGATCGCGCTGGGGACGAGTGGGGGGAGGGTGGTTGTTATGGGGATCTGAGCCTGGTCGAGGTTTGTTGCTGACTGCTGGGATTGGGCGAGATTTATGGAGGTGGGATTGGACGAGTCTATATGCACGAACAGACTCGTCGTACGTCCGTGTGAGGATACTTATATTACTTATGCTGAGGTACCTACTGTACTAGTTTCCGACTCGAGCCTTTGTCTGTTTGTATCTTTCATTAGGTTCTATATCTGTGTATGTTTTTCTCGTGTACTGATATATGTATGAGGTACTCCAGTCGTGCTCAGAACGCTGGAGGGAGGGCGAGACTCAGCCGAGTCTTGCGATAGCCCGAGGTCGAAGTCAGAGCACACACATAGCGCTCAGCACTGTTCGTCGAGTTCCATGTGGAGGTCGTCATGCCACAACTGTCGTACGTCTGAGAAGTAGACTGGGTATGTTTCTTGCTATGGATCTACAGTGTACTTAATATGGACGCGTCGTTTGCCAGTCAAACGAGTGTGAGATTAGCTCAGCAAAGCCAGGTAATCCTCCTCCCCACCCGTCGCCCTCGCGCCCAACAACTCCTCTTTCCCCTTCCCCCTGCCCTCTGCTCTGTACGAGTCCCCAGCAAATTCCAACGTCGCCGGCTCAAACACCTCCTCACACACCGTCTCCCAACCTCCAAGTCCCAACAACCCAACCCTCTTCGACACCTTCACCTCCAACCTCGCCACATGGCTCTGCGCGAGCAAATTCGGCTTATGCCCCTCCTCGAACGGCGGCGTCAAGCCAAGGAACGTCCCCTTTGGCGCGGACGCCTTGATCTCAATCGCATGTGTGAGATTGGTCGTGCGTAGCTTGACAGTCCGATCATCCCACGATATATCACTGGACATCGTCGCGCTGTGGAGCCCGCCCGTGAACGGGACGGGGACGGATAATGCGAACGGAGGGCCGAAGGAGACGTCGTGCGCGGGGTCGACGGCGTGGTACGTGATGAGGTAGGCGTCGACGCCGAGGGTGCGTACGCCGGCGAGGCATATGGCGCTTTTGGTGGACGCGGTGTAGCCGCGGATCCAGATGTGGGAGAAGGGAAAGGCGTCGCCGTAGTTCTTCTCTTGGTGGACTATCGCGGATATGCCACCGGTGGAGGAGGGCTTGTCGAGGGGGTGGATGTGGGTGTAGATGGAGGGGGAGATTTTGAGGGTGAAAGTGCAGTCTGAGGCGAGAGTGTGGATGTGCCAGTGGAGGGGGAGGGGGAGGTGGACGAGTGGACCTACGGGCGTCGAGTGCGGGTCTCCCCGTATCCACGGCGTGCGGTTCACCTTGCCAGTGGTGGGATCATCTCCTGGAACTGTGGCCGTGAACGTGAATGAAGGGTCGATGATCTCGTAGTCGGTCGAGTTATCGGGATGTACGGTCATGTAGCCGATGTCGGGGATGGTAATCTTGAATGACCCTTCGGGGCTCGAGGG